GGGCATTGCATCTTTGAAGGCCTTGACATATGGGTACTGCTACAAAGGTTCCTGTAAGGGAAAGGAGGATTCCATACAACCTAAGTGGTGACACCAGCACAGGCTCATTACTAATCCCGCGCCCCAGTCACGAGGTTTCAGGCCTGGCAGAGAACTCTGCGAGCTCTGTGATGTGGAGCTGTAGGCACATAGAACACAAGCTGGATAGGCCTCTGGCTCCTGCTTGAGAGACAGGAGAAAGGCTGGATGGAGCCTGTCTCCAGCCCAGCTTCTTCTGATTCAAGGACTTGGGTGGCGCTGGCAGTTCGCTGAAGGCAGAGTGTTAGTCCTGCTTGGAACATGAGACTTTGTTTCTTTCCTGGGCCTTGCAGTGGGTCTGTTCTGTTGGTGAGAGTTTCAGACCTAGAGGAAAGGGTCACTGAATGATGGGTTAAGAGCAACTCTGAAAGCCACCTGTCCCCTGACTTCTCTGTGAGTGGGGCCACAGGGAGAAGATCCCTTCATAGGTAGCTCCTCTACCCTTGCTTTGCTTGGAGACTGACCACGGAAGGGGATTCATTTCTTAAAGGGATAGGGCTACGATTTAACTTTCTGTTGTGCCACTTCCCGAAACACAACACCTGTGGCTTCAGATCCAAGTGCTTTAGAACATGAGATACAAGGTCTTCCATGCCCTGGCTGCAACATTCCTTTCCAGGCTTGTGTCCCACCACATTCCTCTGCATCCTCTGTCACTGGCCTCACCATATTAGTCACTTTCTCTGAGAACACCCTGAACTCATCCCCCTCAAGGCCTTTGCACATCGTGTTCCCTGGGCCTATTTTCCTCCTCCTCATGCATGGAAATCCTCTTGGGTGCTCAGGCTTCATTTGGAAGCCACATCATTTGCAGAGAACTTTTAGACCCTCAAAAGGACATTGCATGTACTCGTGCTTTTCTATGCTTTTCATTCTGTCTTGTGTGTTCCAGCGTGTCCCCCATTGAGGCTCTTCAACACCCCTAGGCGTGTCTGGCTCAGCACCCACACCTGCTAGGTCCACACACTGCCTTATCAAGGACAGCAGGTGTTAGCAAACCTCTCCTTGGTGCGTCCCTGAATGCAGAACATGTGACATTCCGTTAACTAACACTTGTGCCAGAATGGCTTCCGTAGCCCATACTGGGGTTCCCATGATTTGTTTGATCATGAGCCCAGCCATTTGAATTGTTTTTGAATTGGTCTGATATCAGCGAATTGTTAACCTTTCTCAGGTCTGTTTCCTACATACCAGTAGATGTCTGCTTAGTGCCAGGGCTCTGAGCTTTCTATTTCACTTAAGAACAGAACGGTGAGGTAGAATTCAGGAAAGATTTACCTGCTGTTAACATGAACTTTTAAAAAAAGAGTTCGAAATGTAGGCCTTGTTTTTATCCCAAAGCTCCCTGAAATGTGAAAATAGCAGGAGTTTTAAAGGTATATTTCCACCTCTAGCAGAAGAACTATCCATATTATACTTGTAATTATAAATTGATAAAGCCTGTGTCATGAAACTTGATTTTGAACACCTGTGTTCAAATCCTGGCTTTACCACTTACTAGCCTAGAGATACTGGGGGAGTGGCTAACAGAATTCTCCGTTCCTCAGTTTCTTCAGCGTTCAATTGGGAACTTTTTCTTACAGGCTGATGGAAAATTTAAATAAGGTCTTGGACATGAAATTGAGATTTTATTAGTGTGTGTGTTCCAAAATGTGGATTTGGAGGCCATTTAAAAATAGAATTTCCAAAAAATTTGCTTTTAAAGCAAAATACTTAGATATGTAAATTTTTGTGAAATTTTTTTCAAATGATAAAATAAATGACTTTACAGTCAGGAGACATACAGTATCTAACAGACTTAGGGAATATGCTTGGCTTACAAGATGTGATTTTAGTCCACGTGCATTAGAATCACAGAACTATAGGCTTTGAGAAATTACAAAAGCCTTGGAAGGGGTGAACGTGAATTAGTGCATATTGTATGCAGGCTTTGTGCCATACATGCTAGATATGGAATCCCAGGAAATGGTTACATACACCTTGATGGGTAGATGATATTAACCCTGTTTTGCAGACAGAGAAGGCTGAGCTTTGAGAAAATCCTTTACACAAGTCTGATATCAAAGCCTGGAACTTCAAACTACCCTCCTGATGGCTTCTAGAAATCCTTTCCGTTTACAGATATGACAAGACTTGCTTTCACGTTGTTGATTTTTTTATCCTCTCTTTCTCTGTCTCTGGGGGCAGCACTAATGCAGGGCCAGACAGACCTGTGAAAATCTGCAGTCGTGATGTCACATAACTTGTTTGATGAATCTAGATTAGTGTCTTGACTTTTCCTGGCAAGAATCTGCTCATAAAGTGTTTTGAGCTCCTTTGACTGTACTCATTCATCAGCCTTTACTTATTTTCTTCTCTTTGGGAGAGATACTTGCCGTTGCCCATAATGTTTGAGGTCAGGAGTATATTTGAAGAGGGCTTTATATTTTCTTAAAAAAAATACTGGTGGAAAATCAAGTTTACTGGCTATTTCATACCGTCTTCTTCTGCCATTTATGGGCAGTCATGTGGAAGAGGTGGCACGGGGCTGGGAGTTTGGAGCAATGCTTCTCATCTTGAATGTGTCGCTGACCAGGGAAAATACTTTGTGCCAACTCCATCATTCCCTTTTGGGAATTCAGTGTCTTCAGCTGTAAAGAGTGAGGGCAGTACTAGGTGATTCCTAAGATTTTAAAATTCTGCATGTTTTGTGGTGTCAAAACCATCAATTTCTGCTGAGCTGTGTGATCCTGCAGCTGTTTCTCTGATAGTTTTCAATCTTTAGATTTAATCTATTCAACAATGTATAATTTTTTAAAGGGAAGCTTTTATAGACACTTCTGAAATATAACGGGGTGGGGGGGGGATAAATGGATGTTAAAAAATAGAAAACAACCAATTAAATAGTATATAGCATGTAATTCTCCTTGGAAACTTACCACGAAATTGAGAAGTACTTTAACAACTGGTAATTTAAATTGCATTTGAACTCTGCTAATGGTTTGTTTGCATGGGAACTTCAATCATTTCACAGCGGTTCTTTAGCAAAGCTGCTTGTTCTCTTTATGGAAAAGAAGAAAAAATCATTAAAAGAGAAGTTGACTATGGAAAAGGGAGACCACTTTCATTTGTACCTGGAGAGACGCTGGAGAGTGTGAGTGAGACTCCCTCAGGGCCCAGGGTGGAGAGCTCTTCCTTTCAGTGAAGTTTAAAACTCTGGGAAGTCAGACGCCCTTGGCGGCTGTTGTAGAAACTGTTGTGATTTGTATTTCTCTCTGCAGGGAGAAGCTTTGGTGTTATGCAGCTTGCGGGTGAGGGTAGCGGCAACCTTTTTGGTTCGTTTTATGAAATTGCATTGTTCACAGGTTTAATGTTGGCTTCCTAACAACCCATTTCTCAGGAAGTTTGAAATGATGCCTCTCTCTCCTTTCAGCGGAAATGGCTTTCAGAATTCCAATGTCCTTGAAGACCACCAGGTCTCAGGAAACTCTTTGCTTTTCTGGGCTGATGTTGATTATACTCCATTTTGCCTACTTAATTTCTTTCTGCTGTTGAGATTACTGGGAGAGCACTGAAACAAGTGTTCGAGGCCTGGCTTTGTAAGTCCTGGTTTGGCTCTAGGTGTGACTCATGTGATCAAGCACAAGTCCCTCTGCCCAGTGCGTTTTGGTGTCCTTTGTCAAAGCAAGCAGTCACTTGATCCAGTGGATCAAGTGGCTCCTGAAGCGGTCACCTCCTTACCCAGGCCACTGGGTTCTCTTGTCAGTTGGAAAAGTGGAGGTGGGTCATTTAAAAAATCCCTCCCAACTTTGAACTTTGAATTGTTTTGTACACAAAACAATTGTATGATTGGTTAGGTAATGTTTACGGTGACAACAATGAAATGGGCATGGTAGTTTTTCTGGTATGTGGATTTCTCCTGCATACACGAAAGACAAGTTTTACAACAGCCCTTGCCTTGGGATACTTGTCTGTTGGAATACATACTGTATGATCATTAGCAAAACAGGAATAGTTTCTAATGAAATAAAACCTGTAATAAGGACTGTATTAGGCTATGCTAGCATTGCTATAAATAAATATCTGAGACTTGGTAATCTATAAGAAAGAAGTTCTAATTGGGTCATGGTTCTGCGGACTGTATAAGCATGGCACTGGCATCTGCTTGGCTTCTGGGGAGATCTCAGGGAGCTTTTACTCATGGTCGAAGGCAGAGGAGGAGCAGGCATCTCACATGGCAAAAGCAGGAGCAAGAGAGGCAGTAGGCAGGGGAGTTGCCACACACTTTTAAATGATCATATATCATGAGAACGCACTCATGATCATGAGGACAGCACCAAGGGGATGGTGCTAAACCATTCATGAGAAATCTACCCCCATGATCCAGTCACCTCCACAGGCCCCACCTCCAACAGCAGGTATTTCAACTCTATGTGAAATTTAGAGAGGGCACGTATCCAAACGATATCGAGGATGGCTTACTGGGACATGTCAAGATTGTTTATCCCTCTGCTGCTCACTGATTCTCACTTTTCAGGCAAGGAAACTAAAGTTCAAAGGACACTAGGACCTATAGTTAGAAATTTGTCTCCAAACTCATATTCCTTTTCTTTTTTTATTTGGTATAGTTCAGGTTTATCTGTTAATTTCTTTTCCTCCCTACAATGTGAGTATCTGACTTATCTCTTTGACCTCTGTTATTGAGATGAAGCTGTCTTCCCAGGAGAACTTGGAGAGATGAGATATGAACCCTGAGGCATCAGCATTCTCTTTCCCCATCATTCTGAGTCAAATTAGTGAAATAAGAGTGCCAGGATCTGACTAGGAGTTTAGGAGGTATAGAAGTAAGCCACAGCCCAGTCAGAGACTTGATAAACCTGAGAATTTCTGAAGCTGGTTGAGACCCTAGAAATACATAAGCAACACCCTTCTGTTTTTCATAGGTGGGAACTCTGAGTCTCAGAGACAGAGCAGAAGACAGAACCTGGTCATCTGACTCCTTGTGTTCTGCTGTTTTCATTGTTCCACCGGACGCTCATCAGAGGGAAGACCTTTCTCCTCAGCTGGTGAGTCCCACACACAAAAGAAATACATTTGCCTTTAAAATCAATGTATATGTTTTAATGAGTTTTAAACATCAGTGTTTTCCACTTTAAGTATGAGCATCGGTAACTAGGATGCATTAAGAATAAGAGAAGAACTGAAATGCTTTTCCTTCTTTCTTAAGTTGCTTTTATGGCAATAGACAATATATAATCATGCTAATAAAATATGTGGCAAAGCAAAGGCAGAGCTCAGCTCTTGGAAGGTGGCAGGCATTGAAATTGGAGGAAAATTTGGAGTAACGATGATTTCAGGTTGCCAGCAATTGCATTGCTTCCTTCTTTCTCATTTGGCATGGAAGAAAGTGTTCATGAAATGGAAAGACCAAAATGAAAATGTCACTAAACAGTGTTTGGGCATTTATGAGGAAAGAAAGCAATATTATTGAGTGTCTCTTGTTTACCCTTGTTCATGGTGCTGCTTCTTTTGTGATGTCATTTCATTTTATGTGTTTATTGTTTTGAAATGGAGTCTTGCTCTGTTGCCCAGGCTGGTGTGCAGTGGTGCAATCTCAACTCACTGCAACTTCCACCTCCAGGTTCAAGCGATTCTCCCACCTCAGCCTCCCAAGCAGCTGGGACTACAGGCGCGTACCACCATGCCTGGCTAAATTTTGTATTTTCAGTAGAGACGGAGTTTTACCATGTTGGCCAGGCTGGTCTTGAACTCCTGACCTCAGGTAATCCACCTACCTCAGCCTCCCAAATTGCTGGAATTACAGGCGTGAGCCACCGCGCCTGGCCTCATTTTATTTTTATAACAACCCTTTGGGGCAGGGCAGGCTAAATTTGCTTAGGCAAAGGGTGTGAGCCTTTGTTTTAAAGGGCCTGCTAGAGCTCCACCAGGACGTGAGTGCAAATCCTGTTATGTGCTCAGAAAGGAGAACCGTGACCAGGTAAGGTAAACTTTTCCTTGTGTTTTGGAGTACCTCTGTACTTAATGGGTAGAGTAGAACATTATATTCTAAAAAATCTGGGTGGTAAAAAGAATCAACAGTGTGGAATACCATGGGCTGGAAGGAGAGTTGAGGAAATTAGCAAGGGAATTCTGCGTGTGATTCCACTTAGGATCCTGATTCGATGGTCCCCATTGGCTGAGGCCAATTCGTATGTGCCCCCAGCGCTGGCTTTGTACTGAGTAAATAATACACTTTGACATATTTGTGGTGTAGTTTTCCAAAACAGAGATGATGCCGTTGTGATTGAAAAAACCTAACTTCACTTAAAAGTGTAACTGAGTTTATAGTTGTGTTTTGTCTCTCTGTCTTTTCTTAATCAGTGTATCTTAAAAGTACAACTGACTATGTGCCTATTGATCTATATCACATAAAAGGCTGGAAACCACTGGTTTGATGCTTAAATCTTAGTGTTTGTTAAAATTTCAAACATGGTCTGGAATATATTCCCCCTAGCATACGTTTAATTATCAAATGAAATATCTTTGTCACCTCCTCTACGTCTTGAGTTTTTTCAGTGTTTATAATTAAACTGTGATAAGTATGAAGCTTTGCACTTGGGCTTAAAAAAAATCAACAGTGTAATGATAGAATGGGAGAGATTTCCTTAACAGGAGCATACTGGAAGAGACTTAGAAGTTTTTGTTATTCTTAAGCTAAATATGAGTCAACAGTGGCTTTTGTTGGGAGTGGCTTCCGAAATGCTGATGCAGTCTTAGCCTGCATTTAATAGAGTATGGCATCTAGAATGAAGTGGGTGGGTGATTTTGCAAACCTAGGACACCTGGAAACTGGCAAGTCCAGAGGTCATGTGAGCCTCAGGCACAGTTTGAACAGGACTCTAGCTTTGTTTTTCTGTAGCACTTCTTGCTCTGCCCTTTTTTGTGCCTGGGCTTTATCTTTGGAATGTTTTACCTCATGGGTCATGAGATTGCTGCCTGATGAAACCCAAACTATAGACATCCCTCTTCCCATTTTGGGGAAAGAGCCTGGTTTGCTATATTCTCATAGCCTTGGCTCACTGTATATTTCTGAACCAGTCATTGAAGCCAAGATAATGGGATTATGCTAATCTGAACCAAGATTCTCGTGAAACTAAGTTTGGACATAGTCTCATCCAAACCTCATGGTACTTACACAGGGGAGAAGAGGTGACCCCTCAAAGGAATATCTGGGTGCTGTTAGGAGAGGGAGAGAGGACCGGAAGCTCCGTGAGCAACCACAGGCCTTCTGCAAACCTCTTTAGCCCCCTGTCAGAGACCCTCTAGAGAGCCAGGCTTTAGTTCCTGCCTCACCTGAAAAGGCATGAGCCAGCTGGACTCTACACGAGGATGCTGAGAGGACCAGGAATGAAGGCCAGCCAAGAACTGCTGCAGGAATGAGACCATGGATTCTGCCACAAGATTCTGGGACACATGTGCTCATGACCATCAAGAACATAGAACCTGGACAGGAGAGGGACAGCATTGCTTGTTCATGTGTGTGTCTCCAGAGTCTGCTGGGGTCTCTGGCATGGGATAGGTGCTGCGTGCATTTTCATGGATAGAATAAATCTGAAGGTAGTAAGGGTCCCTTTCCCAGAGGGTGTTCTATCGGGCACTGGCTGACTCTCTGTTGGGGAGTTATAGGAATTGTCGCCCAGATGCGGTCAGACTACATGGTTTGATGAGAATGAAACAAATGACTGGACAGGCTGGGCATGGTGGCTCACATCTGTAATCCCAGTGCTTTGGGAGGCCATGGCAGGAAGATCAATTGAGGCCAGGATTTTGAGACCAGCCTGGGCAATGTGGCAAGACCCTGTCTCTACAACTAAACAAACAAAAAACTCAAATGACTGGACAGAAAGAGACTTTTGACTTAAGAAGTTTGTGAGGGCATAAAAAGGCAGTGAGTATGGTGGGATGGCGTAACAGAAGTCCTGACAAGTATGAGATGCGCAACCCTAGAAAAACAACATCCCTTCACCCTTATCTTTTTGATCTGAGAATTAGGAACAATAGTCATTGCCCTGCCGACCTCTCATGTTTGCTTAGAGCAAGTACGTTGTTAAATGCTGACTTGTTTTGTAAACTATAAAGTGTGGTTCCTATATGATAGGTTATTATAGTTGTCTTCTTCCTTAAAGACTCATCTTGAATATAAAGAAAAAGACAATGTAAGTTCAGTGCCCAGCACAGCATCGGGAACATTAGACATGCTCAGCGTATGCCCTTCCTGCCAACCTTGCACCTCTTCCTCCTCCGGGTTGGATAGGCACTAACTTGTCCTCAGTCCTGCAGCTTGATCTGCAACTTTGCTTAATGATGCGGGTTAGAATTGAAATAGAATTATGTATTATTATTTTTCACATTCATTTTTGCCTGAGACAAGAGGTGGAGAGTGGTAAATTCAGAAACCCGGGAAGCTCAGTGCTTGAGAGACCCCATAGAAGCTACAGTCTAGCCCATTTGGCTTCTTACTTTGTTAGATTAGATAATCACACCTGCTGCTCCAGGCATGACTAGCCTAGTGGGAGTCAGGAAGGAAATTATTTCCCTCTGTTGATACCAGTTTACAATTGCCGACTGTCGCCAAGGGCTTTCAGTTTTAATATTTCCTCTTTGGTCCTCAGAAGTATCAGGTATTAGTCTCTGCCGGAAGCAAAGCATTGGTCACTTCCGTCAGAGGCGAATGTCTTGGCTGTCTATAATTACTCAGTCAGGTGCTTTCTGGGCATGTGTGAGCATTTGCTCAGCCAGCTTTTATTGCTTTTATGTTATTTGCTTCAAAAATTACAAGAGGATTTGCTGGGTCTGAGCAGTGACCTATTCAGTCCCCTGAAACTCTGTGGTTCTTCATGTAACCCAGGGATGTCTTGTAGGAGGTATGTTTGCTGTCCATGAAAGTAAAAAGTAGTGATATCTCTTTCTCTCTTTTGCTTCCTTCCTCCTAATTCCACATTCTGCTATTTCTTGGCTTCTGGCATAGTGGAGATACCTCTACTCTACATTAGGCATGGCCTTAGGGGATCCGAATTCTCAGGTCTTCCTCAGTGGGCTGCTGTGTGGTAGACAGCATCTGAAGTGTGAATGGATAGAGAGCTCTTTGTAGATTGTGGCCAAATATTTACCCCTGGTTCATAGAGTATGTGTTTGCTGCCCTGGTCTCAGTGTTGGTCTGGATGTTAGTGAACCACATGATCTTTAGGAAACTATGTGAATTAGGCTTAGTCCCTGACCTTGAGAAACTTATAGTTAGGGGAAAAGACAAACATATAAAAGAGAAATACACATTAGAAACATATTCTTTTTTTTTTCTGAGACGGAGTCTTGTTCTGTTGTCAGGCTGGAGTGCAGTAGTGCGATCTCGGCTCACTGCAACCTCCGCCTCCCGGATTCAAGTGATTCTCCTGCCTCAACTTCCCGAGTAGCTGGGACTACAGGTGTATGCCACCACACCCAGCTAATTTTTGTATTTTTAGCAGAGACAGGGTTTCACCATATTGACCAGGATGGTCTTGATCTCCTGATCTCATGATCCGTTCGCCTTGGGCTCCCAAAGTGCTGGGATTACAAGAAACATTTCTTTCTTTATGATACACCTTTATTAATCACCAGATATGTTTCAGGCCTTATGCTAAGTGCTTGGGAAATTGAAGTAAATTATAGTCTCAGATCTCATGGGGCATGGATGAAGGGTTGGGAGAAAAAAAAAATAGGCCAGGCGTAGTGGCTCACGCCTGTAATCCCAGCATTTTGGGAGGCTGAGGCGGGCAGATCACTTGAGGTCAGGAGTTAGAGACCAGCCTGACCATCACGGAGAAGCCTCATCTCTACTAAAAATACAAAATTAGCTGGGCGTGGTGGCGCATGCCTCTAATTCCAGCTACTTGGGAGGCTGAGGCAGGAGTATTGCTTGAACCCAGGAAGCGGAAGTTGCAGTGAGCCGAGATCGCATCATGGCACTTCAGCCTGGGCAACAACAGGAAAAGTCTGTCTCAAAAAAAAGAAAAAAAAGCATTGATTA